TTATTAACTTTCAGTTTAAATTTTTATTTATATAATATATTTTTTATATAGTTATGATCGCAAATGACCACGAAACTAACCACAGTGCGTGGCAACGGCAATTGTCGCGTGTATTTTGTTGCCTGGCAACATTATCACGTATACGTAGTGTAGGACCAGCTCATGCGACGTTCTTATGAACACACGAGCAAGAGCACGACTGTGCATATGTGTGTGTGCTTGCGTTTGCGTGATTGCCTTTCCCATCGTTTCAGCTTATACCGGATATGTGTGTGTGCTCCGCTGCCGCTTATATTCTTTAAAGCCTTTTTTCGCCTTTCGTCCTCTATGAGCCCTGTGTGTCATTTCTTCGTTTGTTTACATGCTTAAATTTATGCTGAATCTTCTATGCTATTCACTTTGCGTTTTTGTCATACACAGTATTTTACCGAGGCTTAGAACAATTTCACTGTTATAAATGTTTTGCTGCTTTTGTGTGGTTTGCTACACAAACAGCTGAAAATATGTTCAGATGAGTATGTATGTATGTTTCTTTTGAGTAGCAAAAATGCTTTTGTTGATATAAAGTTTTTATTTTGTTGCGAACACCTCATTTTCATATTCTTTTCATTATTTCCATCTTTCATTTTTATTTATTTGTCTACCTTTACGTTTATTCGTCGCCATTTTACAGTTCACATTTTCTTTTGCTTAATGCCATGCCTTCTTTTGTCTCTCCACAATAGATTAAATGAAAGAGAAAATTTCCTATGAACCATCCTCGGAATAATGTCATTTTTGTGCGTTGACTTTCGGTTCTTATCAACTTTGCGGGTGTTATGAGTTATTCCTTTTTCGTTGTTGCCGGTTGATTTGCATTAGATCAGACTTTGTGGTTTTGGGAAACCAATTGTTATTGGGGGAAAGGTTTTCACACGAAATTTCGATCTTCATTCAAAACTGAGCAATGTACACTTGATTTGGTTTAAAAGTTACATATTTGTTTTTAATCAAAAAATGCTTGAGTTTCAAGTCTATGGTCTTATTCAGAATTAAATCCTACGTAGTACACGGTGCTCTACACATATCTATTACTTCTATTGTAATTGGTGGGCTATGGCCCAATATCACTTAGTAACTAATACTAGTCCTTTACTAGGGCCCTTATTTAGTAATTTCATGAATTTAACCGTTTATAAGGCTTATCTTGTCCTATTCATTATCAAAGTATACTTTTCTCTCCGTGAATAAAACCGAGATAATATAAAATATTCCTTATATATACATATACAATAAAATTAGTAGTAGTAAATAGAAAATAACTTGTAGTACCTTCTAGCGATATACATTTGAATTTAGCAGAACTCAGTTCAAAAACACGATTTTTTTTAGCAACTCGATTTCAGTGCCAACTAGCGACTTTTTAACAAATTTTGTAGTTGAAATCTATTCAGAGTTTTTAAAAGGTAATGGTTATTTATATGTATATATTATATACAAGGATTTCGATAAACTTTAAAATAATTTTTCACCGCATAATATTAGAAGATTTTACACGTACATTTTACTAATTTTTGACAGACTGAGTTCAATTTTTCTTAAATTGTTAGTACTATTTTAAATTCGTATTACATATTTTAATCTCTGCTAGACCAAAAATTATATTTTCTGGAGCCGGAGGATCAATGCACTTACCACTAATGACTAATGAAAGATAATTACAAATATGTTTTAAATAGAAAATAATTGGCGAATGAGTTGATATCTTTCACAGTTTAAAATATGTTACAATTGTTGTAGCAGTAAACTACTGGTGACCAATAATCATTGACTGGTTGCAAATGCCTAATGGTAAATGACCGTTGACTAATTAAAATTTTTCTAAATAGATAATATTTAACATATGCAACACAAAAAATTATTTAGCATCCACAAGAAGAAGAAGAGTAATTTTTAGAATGATATTTACTATTTATAATTGTTGCTTTAAGACTATTTTTAGTTAGTTCAAAGAACTGTAATCCTTAAGTTCCCTTTTACTGGATAATTTATATTTACATTCCCACCAAAAATAACAATATTTTTCTACAAAAATACCTCAGTAGATGTCATTTATTTTAAATTACTAAATATATCAGAGTTAATCTTGCTCAAAGATACTCTGTTGCCAACAAAGTGAGGTCATTGTACCCAAAGAGATATTTACTATATTGAAAATATTTGTATCATCCTTTACATCAAATACGCTCATGCTCTTTGTTCTATTGTGCCCGAAAATAAAGTAAACATAGACTCAACAGACTATAACAGCGCTAGAGATAGAATTGTGACAATTATCAAAAATTTCTACATTGTTTTATGTAAATTAAGCACGAAATCTGTCAAAATCCGTTTCTCCTAAAACAACGTGAAAAAAATCTAGGAATAAAACTCTTCAACTGTGTATTTATTCTCCAATCGAGGACCCAACGAAAAAGGTGAGCAATAACAGTTAAAGAGCTGAGCTATAAAGAGTAAGCGCCCGGCAAATAAGAGCGCAATAACTGTTAAACACATAACATAGTTCTCTTCACCTAACGGCTGAGTGTTGCTTGAGTTGACGCGCTAGAAAAGCGGAAATTGAGCGTATACTGCGAGTAAAACACGAATTTTACAAACATTTGATGTTGTATAAAGGATTTTATTGAGTGTAAGCAATTTTAAGATTGCGTGGGTGGAGGCAGTGTAAGAGAGTAAAAGAGAGTAGTAAATAAAGTGAAGTGAGATTTGTTTTATTTTTGTGTGCAGTTGTTGCTTATGTAGACGCTATTTTGTGGCATTTGCCTATATCCACATTTTAAAATATCGAAAGTTGTACCTTTGAATTTGGTAAAGACTTTTTTATGGATAATAGAATTTGTTGAGAGTTAAATCTAATCCACCCAAATTGTGTTATCGGTTTTTAGGAATTTCATAACACCTTTTGGCATTTTCAGTAAAAATCTTTTACCTTTCACAAATTTTTTTCTCATCACTTATTGGAGAAATTATATACTTGTCTTTAGTAATGTCTAAATTTACTTCCAGGTTTTTGCCAAGAAATAATAGGGATTTGTGAAAGGTCTGCATATATCCTTGCTTATGGTGAAATTACTTATTCTTTTCTTCATTTCTAACTATTATCTGGAAATAGCACTGTGTTTGTTTTTGGTTATTGAAAGATCTCTCAGGAAATCAGAAGGTGAAACCGATCTAGACATAGCCGTCATACAAAAGTGTAATAACACCTGACTATAAATCCAAATAAGATCAAACTTATTTTGTTCACAAGAAGATGGAAGTGTTCCCAATATTGAATAATACAGGTGAAAGGTGTCTCGGAGTCAATTCAGACAGCAAGCTATCCTGGACTCTTAGAATTTAAAAATTACATAAAAGAGGCTTCCTAGCTTCAAACAATGGACGTGCGTCCTATGTTCTTAATAATTTCGGTGTTTTAGGAGTTTTAAGCCATCGGCCCATTAGAAGTTTAATCTCATCTTGGTAGTTATAGGTGGGCTGAAAAATCGAAGCGTAGTTTATTTAACATCACTTGAAGCAAATTCGTGTTTTTCAGTCTTTAAATGCGTTGTTTTGGATGAATTGACTACCAAGCTCTCGCTTTTTGGGGTGACTATTTCAAGTTCGAAACTCCACTTCGATGAGATTGTCGGCCTTCGCTGGCGTATTGAAGTGCTTATTCCAGAGGAGATAGAAGTCATCATCAAAGATGCTCGAGTTTACGTATAAGAGATATTTAAATCAAGTCCTTCAACACGTTGAGATTTTTGGCTTACGCTTGTATATCGTTGGTCCTTGAGTTGTCATATGAAGATCTTACTCCTAATGGTGGCCAACATGGCGGAGTGAAGAGGAGAGAGTCAGCAGGTTTATTATGCTTTGTTGTTGATGGTTAAAGAACCGTTGTTGTTGTCGAAAGATTGCCAATTCCAAGTTATCATATAAGGCTTGGTTAAGACGAATTATATTCTCGTGCACCCCTTACCTACTTAATACGAGACAAATTGAGTATCGTTTGATCACTTTTTATAGGGTTCTTGGCGCACATACATAAGTATACTTCGTAGTATTATAGCTTATGGTTGACGTTATCGTTTAGCTGTTACTAATCTCACCTAAATTCAAAATGTAGCGCGCTGATTAAAAGAAATATACAAATATATTCTGTCGAATAGCATATAAATTACAATTTTAATTCATATGAAAAATATGAATCTATTTTATATAATTTCTGATGTATGTATATTTCAATAATTATCTCGCATAAAATACTAATTTTATCTATAAAAACAAAATTTAATGTGAATTGAATTATTATTTTCAATAATTTTCACTGATTGATCAAAGCTAAAATATCGAGCCCTTAACAACCGACATATACAGAAGCGCTTCCATATATACGTGACCGAAATTAGGTCAGTCCAATTAGTAGCATAAATATGAGTTTAGTTTTTGCTCGTAATTACCAAATATTCCCGCCATTTTCGGATAATTCCACAAAATTCTTTATCAGCCTCTAAATACCTATGAACCTATGTTTTCACATACATATACCGTTATGTGCACATAAATCAAACGCCCAACACTCTTCCATAAAATCACGCACAAATGGGCAGATATAAAGCCGCACATCCCAACAATGCGAGTCTGAGCGAATGGCACACTCACACCTACGAATGGAACGGCGAAATGAGTTGCAGTCACCACAAAAATGTCATAAAAATGCTGATCTCACAGCATTCAACAATTTTTACAATGCATAAATATTTACACACACAAACACACGCATACATTTACATACTTACTGCATAATCAGTTGTCAGGCTTTTCCAGGCTTCATATTTGTTATGCCCCTCAACCCGAAAATATTTACACACACCCACACTCTCACACGTGTGATGCCGAGGAGAAAGCAAACAAATCCTGCTGTGGCCAGGATAAATTCCGACTAATTTGAATTGCATATATGGCCGCATTAATATGATGCACAGCGTTGTGTGCCTGTATGCTTGACGGGGAGGAGCGGGGAATTTGCTGAGTATGTGTTTATTTAAGCAAATGTCAGTGCGGGCCGATTTTTGTAGGGCTTTGGTGGAATTGGTGATGTATATTTTTATTCTGGCAATCTTAGTTTCTATTGGTTTTACTTTCAATTAATTCTACAATAGTAATCATTTAGCTTGTGTCTAGAAATTTATACCACTACAAAGGACTTGTCTACAACTGAACAAGCTTAATAACTAGTATAATCTAATCTAGTAATCAACTGCTCATATAAAGTCAAACTTGACATGTTAAAATATATTTCACCTAATTTAGGATAAATAAGTAAAAATTGAGGAATATTTTCTTAAGTCCATTACCTGCTCATACCTTCGAATGAACGTAGGTCAGAAATACAACACTTCATTGATCGATAGATTAGCACCCCTATTACGTATCTATAAACGGGTGAGTATAGTTGCCGTTCGACAACAGTATACCAAAATTTATGTTACGAGTGGATATTGGATACCTATCGCAGGCAAATACGTAGTGTAATGACAAAGTTATTTTATAATCTGATTAATAAAATCTTGCGCTATAAAACAAATTTAAGTTTTTGCATCGCAGAGATCCGATAATTAACTGGTTTCCAGAATCTTGAAATTAAATCGTCAATCATGATCGTCATTGTGCTTCTCGCGAGATTTCAATAACTGGTGGAGTAAATTTGTTCCAACGTCAATTTCAACCCATCTTCTCCTCTCGCCCACAAGCCTTTGGATCCCTCACACCTTCCAAATGCAATTCAGGTTTAGTAGAATATTTTGAGATTCGTTTGAATTCCAACGCGGAAAAATAGTATTAGCAGAAAAGGTATTCGGCGCATTTGCTGCATTTGACTCGCTCATTCTGTGCACGAAAACGTTTTTATTCCCCGCACGAAATAGAACACCATGCCGTGCATTTGATTTTTTGCTTTGTCGCCTTAGACGCGCATATCTTTTGTTTTACCACACTTTCAAATGAGTTCGCTTCCTTGTACCTTGTACTCACGCCTCGCTCATCCGGCATGCTCAATATTTTGTCATTTCCGCATACTGTGCCCTGATTTCGCCGTCTGCTCAGTCCGGCGCATAACAATTCATATAAGACGTAATAACCATAAGTATAATAATAAAGCTGTAGAAAGGAAGATGAGTAAATTCACGAATAACGGCACAAAAAGAGGTTGATGAAATGCACACACTCACTCGTATCTAACGGCGAAATTAGACAAAGGTGACGTAAAATGAATGCGTAAACCGGCGCATAATGGCTGTGGCATTAAAATGTCAAGAAATTCCGCGAATTTTCATTCTCATTAACTTCGCCGAAATAATCAAAGCGCGTTGAGTGATTTATGTTCCTTTTTGCTTTGCTTTTTTTGTTGTTTTTTCTGGTGTGACGTGTAAGAATTTCATATTTTCAGTAATTTCGAGCATTTCATTTTCGTTGCGGAAATATATATGCACTTTGTTTTCTTTGCTTGCTGTTGTTATTGTCACAGGTGTGAGTTTCCATTTGTGCGCCTTACAATTTGCTCCTGCTTCCTTTTCTCCATATTTTCATATATATTTTATCGCCTTCGTTTTTTACATACTTTGCCGAAATTAAATATTGATTTTCCATTCGCTTCCCAAGCGTCGCCTTGCAATTGTCGTCGCGCTTCCTGCGCGCTGGAGCTGTTAGAATATTGGCTTGGTTAAGTAAATATTAAGGAAGAAGCTTAAGTAAATATTCTACATGTGTATTAGCGCTGTTTCCACCTGTGTTACAGGTTTACGTTTTGCGTGCGTCTTTTTTTATGAGGTAAAGCCTTCGGAAATCTGAAAATATTTAGTTTTTTTTTTTAATTTTATTGCGTATTTTAAAATATGTGTAAATATACCCTTCGAACTTTAAAGCAATTGATTCTGACATTTATTTTTAATTTCCAAAAGTTTACTGTTTTAGACTGTCACAACAGGTGTGCACCTTAAATGAATATTAAGTAATATATATTTTAGGAACAAGAGCTCTTGGATATTTTGCCAAAGTAGTTGGGACCTGAAGAAACTCCCAATAGTTTGATGTAAGGATATTTTTGACAATCAGTTTTCATCGTAACATCCATCTGACATTAAAAAAGACCTGTAGCACCTGTGCCTATGTATGGCGTATCCGCCAGCCAGCTTAACCTTACCTAATACTTGAGGGAAGGTGCAGTGAAGTTAACACATAACTTGACGTGAGAAGATAGTAGTTTAAGAGTGGTATCTGCTGGAAGAAGAGTGGTGAGTGCATATATGGGGAGTTGTGGTGCGAAATGAAGTACCTAAAGAGCGGTGATTTTGATATTTGTATAAGTTCGATGAGCTCATACTATAGTTAGCTAACTTGGTGTGGGAGCGAAATAAGAGACAGTTGTTGTGAGTTAAATTAAGTTTAAGATGGTTAAGTTTTAAATCTATAAGTAACGTAGATGGGATGAGGTGAGTTGGAGTTAGGTAATATTAAAATTATAATTTTCATTTACCTTTGAATTTTATATAAAGCTTCATATATATTCTGTTAGAGTGTAAGATTTCAAAAAAAATTTCGGTCATAGTACCATTTATTGCATACTTTTTGTTGAGACTATGTCTAATTTTTGTTTAAAATATGTGTTAAACCGTCAATAGATAGAACATTTAGGAACTTTTTGGCACCAGCGCTACCTGCCGAGTAATTGTGTGGTAAACTTCGTTTAATCTTTTTCTTACGAAAAGCTTTTCCTTTGAGTCGAAGTCAAAGTCTAAAAACTACCTCCGAAAAGATACTAGTCCATTAAATCTACCTATAAAATATACTAATTTATAAAGACTATACACATTTCTCTGAATCATACCACGCATTTGAAATACATAGTTTGCCAGAAAACCAATTACTGAAGATTCAATGTTGTTCTACAAACGGCAAATTATCGTAAATTTCAATTTTTTAATTACATACTTACCAACCTACATAGCAGATAACGGTATTTTGCTTACGTGTTCCGTACAAATGTTTCGCTGTACTCCACACACATGCAGAAATCTTTTATGTACAACATTCTCAGCAGTTTTTGTCCATTCCCTTTTAGCTTGAATTCTAGCATTTTTGCAACTCACTCGAAAGGTAGTCGTTTGCCGCCTAATTGTTACTTGCTAACTAAATAAGCAAATAAAGATGATGACGACGATGATAATTCCGATGATTGCATGACGTCAGTTGTTGTATGTGTGAATAGTTGCCGTGAGATGCCTGTCTTCATTCGGCCACTTGGAATGCAATTTCCTGCTAAAAGTCGTGCGGATCCTCAACTACTTCACCACAAGCACCTGCACCTGCTATATAGCCGGTATAGTGTTTTACTTAGTTTCGTTACAGAGCGCTTTAACGCCGTAAATATATGTACATATATGTGTACATATGCTCGGCCAACAACGTGAAATTGCATGTAAGTGGGCAGTTAATGCTAGTTTTATTTCACTGTTTCTTCTTTCACCACATCTTCTACATACTATTCAACTATGCAAATATGTGTGTATATGTGAATATATTATATAAAACATAGTGAATCAAGATAAAACGCTAGGTAATTTTGTGGCACGGGTCGTATACGTAATGCGAAGTGAATTATGTATCTTCAAACACTGGAAGAAATACTGGATAATTTTTAAAAAAAAATTTTTTTAATACACTATTTTTATTTATTTTTATTTTTTTCTTATATATTAGTCTTATTAAATTTTTTTTATTACGGTTAATTTTTGTTAGTTTAATTTTAAATTTTTTTGATTTTTTTCGTAACATTTTTTGTTCAGTGTACTGAGTAAAAATAGTGCTACTATACAGAAATGTACACATAATTGCACGAAAATAAGTTATATTTAAAAGTACACATACATACAAAACTTTGCACATCTGTCTAGTCTGCCCTCATTGAGCGTACCTCTGTCTGTCTCTCGCTCCGGCTGTGTGTGTCTACCTCCTATTTTATGCGTCCTCAGCATAGTCCTCGCCAACTAATCAGACGACCTTATTGACTTGAGTGCACTTTATACATACATACCCACATATATGTATGTGTGTATATTCACATATCTACTCAACTGTATTTGTAACCAAAAAGGGACGATATACATTTTAAGCCCTGTTGTTGAATATCTGTGTGTACTTGTAAAGCTTTTTATTCCACTTTTGTCTGCGGTTGGCGTCATTGTGCGCTTAGAACATATTGTTCGTTTCATTTTTCTGCTGTAAATTCAATTTGAATTCATGTCTCGCCCAGCAGCTGCTTACCAACATATTCTGCGAGCGCTTGCTTTTTTAACAGCTGCTTATGCTTTAACTGACGCGCTTGCAGATGTGTCAGTCGTAATATGATATATTAAGTATGTATTATAATAGTATACTGCTAAAATAAAATTAAGCTACAAGCAACAATGGCTTGTCGTCTACAATAAATTCTGTGGTTGAATTAAATGTGTTAACTGATAGGTAGATCAATGTACATTATTTCAACTGCTATTGAATAGCCAAATTCGTAAAATTTATTAACAGTAATGATCAGTGATGTTGACGTTATGTGGTAAATTCTGCATGTGAGAGCTGCGTGATCTGACGGTGCGTATAAGTAACCCATTCATTGTTGAATTTAAGCATCCAATGTCGCATTAAAGCAGATCTACCAAACATCTCACCAAAAAAATTTAAGGATATTAATACAGTGTGACAACTGATTTCAAACATCACATAAGCTGATTAAAGCAATACAAGAAAAAACAGTTAACTTCGGCTGCACAGAAGCTACAAGTATACTACCATTGACAGATGTATTTTTTATATAAACTATACTTGTATATATATATGTATATATAAAGAAAAAAGATCTTGTATGAAGCTCTTTGTCTTGATTTTAATCGGTCAGCTTGTATGGCTGTTCAGAGATAGTACCGTTGCATTGGACATCTATTCTAAATTTCGTGAAGATATCTGGTCAAATAAAACAGTTTTCCATACAAGGACTTGGTTTTGATCAGCTTCCAGAGCAGGAAAGAACGTGTGCACATTTTTAGATCCATATCTCAAAAACTTAGGTACTAGTTTGCTATTTATAAAAAACAAAGGTCTATTAGAGAAAGGTCAAAGTTAAATATGAGAGATTATTAAATCAATAAAAATACTTAGAACTACGAGTTTTGAATTTCTAAAGAAACCACCAAGCCCACCAAAGAGTGGTTCTTAAAGATTTTTCTTTATAAAAATGTACTCAAACTCTTTAAACCAGATATATGCGCTTTTATAGTATTTTGTTCGGAAAGCTCTAAAAATAAAAAAAAAATTTAAGCCCAAAAACCGGATTAAAAATTACCCGATTGAAAAATAAAAAAGAAAAATTTCAATCTTAAGTATATAATTACGAATAAAAAAAATTCTTCTTTAGAAAATTTTCGGGTACATTTAAATCCAAAAGTATTATTATAATTTAATATTTAATTCCATCATCGGGCTTAAAAAATGAAAATGTAATTTATAAGTCCAAAATCGCGATTAAAAAATAAAAATAAATTGTTTGATCCCAAATAATTAAAGAATTCGCAATCATGCTCCTATTTTTGACCCACCTTAATATATATCGATAATATAATTTTAAAAATTGCCAAAATATTTAATGTATTCGAAACTTCTTATAATTTGTATAAGTCCGGCCTTTGCTGACAAGCTGGATTGAACCAAAAATGTTCTAGTTGTACTTGGTAGCTTCATTAAGTGGTTTTGATGATTTCTACACTAATTCTTTAGTGAAGATTGAAAAAAATATGTTTAGAAATATAATCATATTTAAGAATATCGCTATCTTGGCTATTTTGGGACTAGGGAAAGGTCAAGACTGATTTCGTGACCGTGAAACAAGGTTGGCTGAAATAGCTAACTCTTTAAATATATCAAAAAGTGTATTTGACATATCGTTCACGAAAGTAAATATTGAAAAATTGCTTCTACATCTACCGTATTCTCTGACAATTTTCTGTTCTCAGATCTCAAGAACAGGTTCTCTAGAAAGTAGTTTAACGACGATAAATAAGTAATATTCGAGATTGAGGCTTATTTTATTTAACAAAGAGAGCTCCAGTTATTTATTCGACATTAGGTAATTTCTTGCATAATTTTAGTTATTATCCTTCTCTCTCGAAATTCATTACTATACCAGCTAGCTTCCCCAAAGGTATAAAAATTCACAAAAATCAATTCGTATATTAAGAGTTATAGCATTGACCATATAATAATCAGTTCCTTCATTTTCAATCCTTAAGCCGATTTGCCTCTGCCATTTATCATATACTTGTTATTTTGATATTTTTACAGTCCTGCATTATCAACAAGTGAAAATTTATATTTCAATATTTATCGTGTATCGTCAATATTCAAGCACTGGCGCCTCGACTTCTCAGCGCACGTCGTAACTTGTCAACAACTTTTCTATTTCAATCCCCAAAGTGTTTTGCTTTTGAATTCTCTATTAGCCACATTAAACCACACAGGACAAAAACATTTGTTGTTATGCATAACAAAGTACATAAATAGATATATGCATACATATATATATATATATATATATTTAGCTTTATATTGCACAGGTACACATATTAACAACCCTGAGCACGGAGGCAAACATTTTCATATGCATATTTTATAACTGTGCTAATGGCCATACGTGGGCCGAGTTAGCAAGATGTCGTTACATATATATAAATATGTGTGTTTGTTGTTGTTGTTGGACATACACACAACTTCCAAATGCATGTAGAGATTGGTAGCAGTACATTATTGTTTATCATTTCCTCGCCTCTCTTTGGCTAACTGTCGTTATTGCTGGCGCCCGCACTGTCAACTGAGCGGCGAATGGCATAACTTTTTGCCTTGACGCCCGTTTCCCACGCCCTTTTATTT